TGATGTGTTTTGATTCTATACATTAATAGAAATCATATCTATAGAAATTATACACACTTCACTTAATTTGGTTGACACGGGTACTTTATTCAAAGCATGTTAGCTTAAGTAACTGTTGCACTTTTGTCCATATCTATTACTGAATGCTTTGGACGGTATGATTATAGGGTTCACACGCTTTGCTCAATAGACAACATGCCTATAGGACACAATAATACACACCTTTGGTATTCTCATCTAGATACCATGACTTTAGGGTTTAATTAGTTAGTCAATTACGTTTTTTGCTTTCATTATACTGCCCCACCTAGATGACATGCCTATAGGGATAAAGTATTACAAAATCAAGTTCAAATGTCAGAAATCCTGCCTATAGGACATGATTACACACCTAGAAATCCTATCTATAAATCAAGCATTATTAATTTTGAGCTTTCAAACAGTTTAACTGCCTAATTGAGCAACCTAAGTAAAGTCTAGAACCACCGAATAGTAGGTCCAAAGCCGTCTGGACCATATGCATAGGATGGGTAGTGCACACATAGGATACAGTTTAGAATTGAATTAGAACGCCTTAAGCAATCACTTCAACATAGTAACTGGATAGCAGGAGATGATAGTCTGGGCCCGCTGAATAATATGAGCAACTCCTATCCTAAGGGAGTTACGAAGTATTATTTATGTTGCATGAGATGATCCTTTAGGCTAAAAAACTTAGGACCTCATATCCTTTATATAATTATTGTTCACACTTAGTCATAGATCAACGCAATCGTTCTCCTTGTGATTTTTTAAGACTTCTATCAATTAGTCATACAGTTAATTCCTATGTTATAATAGAGTTTCAACTTATACATCTTTCTTTGCTTATTTAATCACCTAGCTTAATTATCTAATCCTCATAGTTTAAACTTCGGCCGTGAACCACATTTGTGGAACTCGAAGAGGGCCAAATACCTTCTCTTCGAGGTAATTTGATCCCTTACTCGATCTTTAATGGTGTTGACTAGTCAAATATATTTACTTATAAATAGGTGTCCTAGCGTACCTTAAAATCATTTGGTGGCAACTTTTCTCTTTTAATACCTATTTAAAAGAGTTGTAACATGTTGAAACTCGCTTTTTCAAGAAAATAGGGCGCGACACAGAATGTTATTTCTGTCGTAACTTCACTGTGTCCACAATGTTCTTCCTTGCCTAGATAAGTCTTGAATGGGTTGAATGATGACTTACAACTAACAATCCTCTTTGCTTTGACATAGACAATGGTTTGATCGTGCGACCGTGGAAAAACTACAAAAGGTAGAGGTGACTCTTCTAGGGGTCAAGGTAGAGGTACTTTGCCCCTTAGCTAGCCCAAAACTATCAGGAAGAAGGCCATATCAGGCATAGGGAGGGGTGCAGACCTCTCCGGGTCTAGCTCTTATGTCCCGTCTAGGGAAGTTTCTGAGGGAAACTATGCCTCTATTCTGTAGGACGAGGAAGTTGCACAGTCTAGGTCGCAGGGGAAATTTGAGCTCATGGATGACGCCTCTTCATCTCACAGCACTTCCGAAAGTTTGAGAAGTACTAGCCAGAATTCTGAGCCGGTAGTTGTTCCAGAGACGGATGCGCATATTGTTCAGGATGTCCATGATGATAGTATAGGGGGAGAGGGTACATCCACTAGTGTGGAGAGATCAAAGAAGAAGAAGATATGGGAGGACAGATTTGTTAGCTTGGCTGCCTTCACTAACTTCCAAATGTGGTGGTCCACGAGATACTTGACCCTTGAGAGGCAGTTCCTATTGAAGGATCTAGAGACATACAACCCTGGAGTGCTGAGACAATTCAGAATGAGGAAGGGTTGGATGTTGTTCACTGAGAGAGTGGTAGATGCCAAGTAGCACCTTGTCCACGAGTTCTACGCCAATATTTCTCACATCAAAAAGGGGACAAAGGTGATCAAAGTATGCAACCTCAAGGTGAGGTTTGTTCAGCACACGCTAAATGCATACTTGTGGTCTAAGGACTTAGATTCCAATGAGTACCTAGAGAAGTGTGCTATGAAAGAAGAAGCCAGACCATGGCTAGCTTAGATATTAGCACCACCGGGGCCACCACCACCATGGATAACTGCTGGGGTTCATATTCACTGGAATACATTAAGTTTTGAGGCAAAGGGATGGCAGACTTTTGTGTGTAGCATACTTGTCCATTCCAGAATGAAATCCACCTATCTGTTTATTCCACAGGCTGTTATAGTGGCTTATATCGTGATCGGGTACCCAATTAATATGGGTGCTATGATATCGGCTAATATTACATTGGTAGCACAACAGACCAACACGGCTTACCCTTATCTCAACACTATCACAGAGTACCTTACTGATGCAAAGGTAGAGCCAATATCATATGATACAAAGGTGAAGCCAAAAGAACCATTTGACTGTATGCATTGATGGATTCGACCAACCCAAAGAAGAGAGCTCAGCCTTTTACCACCACGGGCCAGTCTGATAAGCCGGCAGTGGTAGTTTCAAAGACAGCTGACATTCCATATACCTCTGTTGAGCCTTCTTCTAGTGCTGCTATTATGCCTCCGCCACCATCTTCAGGTCCTACCACAGCCCTCGGGGTAGACCCTACTACAGCTCCGAGGCCGGTGCCCATGCCTACATCTCCATTATCTTCTCTATGAGTCTCCCAGACATCAGCGAGCCTCAATAACTGGATGCAGATAACTACTTCAAAATTGTCTGAGATATCTATTATTGTTGCAGGGCAAGCATCCATACAAGCACCACAGATTTGGTGCTGAAGCTCAGTTGTTGATTGAAGAAAATCCCGGACCATACACGATTTGTGCGACCACAAAATATAGTTGTACTGACAAGAATTCAAAAAGTTCAAAGACTGTGCAAATGACCAAGATTGAAGCCTTGCCAGAAGTGCGGACCACACATGGAATTGTGCGGCCGCAAAAGCTGAAGTGCAACCGCAGATCAAAATGTACGGCTACAGAATCCCTCAACCTGTATACTCGAGCAAATTTTTGTCAGCAAATTTTGGGCCACTATAAATAGACGGGAATTACTTTTTTTAGGTCAAGTTTTGGTATTTTTTTGAGCTCTAGCCATTGTAGTTTATCACTTTTGGTAATTTGTGACCAATTTGGGTTAAAAACACATTAGTTTATCATTTTAATTTTGTATTATGGCTTTAATTAGTGCTTCTTCTTTATTTTCTTTCATTTTTACTATGAGTAGCTAGATATTTTCTAGGGTTGTGACCCAACCCTAGTGCGTAAACCTTATGGGTGATTAATCTAATACTTGTTTATGATTGGGTGTTTGCTATATAGCCTTGTTCATGATTTAATTTTAGAATTAATGGTTGCAAATATTGATTCATGCCTTTTTGACTTGGTCTTTACTCGAGAAAAAGGGACCTAGTTAAGGTTTTGACTAGCCTAGTTAAAAGGTTTGAACTAGAGATAGTGAAAATCCGACTTGAGCTCATATCAACTCTTTGGTTCGATACCCATTTAGGCTTGAGAAAGCCAAATTTGGCAAAATCACTCTATGACCGAGAGGTATTGAGTGGGTAATTTAGAGCTAAGAGCTATAATACACCTCAATCACTAAAATAAGTGCTAACATAGTTAACCTATTAGGCTAACACCTAGGTGAATATTACATCCCTAGGCCTTTTACCTATATGAAAACAATCAAAAATAATTAATCAATCTCTAGTTTCATTTCTCTAAATAATCATTGATAATATAGTTTATAGAAGTAATTTGCAAAACCATCTCATTTGGAAGCGTACTTAAGCTATTTCTTCTACACTCTTCAAGTGTGCACTCTAACACCCGCATTTAGCTCTGTGAGGAAATCGACTCCGACTCATAGTTAGGTACTATTCTTCCAACGATCTCTTCCACTCATTGTTGAGTGTGGATTGAGAGTGGATCAAAATGTAACTTTCATTTTCTCTCAATACAATACTCTTCCCACACTCTTTCTCTCCTCCCCATTCGTGTGTTCATAAATGACAGAATCAGTTTAGGGTTTCCATCGTTTAATGTGAACCTGTAGCCTCTAAGCTAGATTCGCCCTTGCCCTTGGCCCTATCTTGTTTATGTCAATAACAAAAGAGAAACTAGCAATGGAGGGGACATAAACCACAACCTCCAAGTCCACAAGCTGACACACTAATTAATTATTACTCTCTCCGGTTCAAAATAAGTAATTTTTTAGTTGTTTTCACACATATTAAGAAATTTACCTTTTAACATTAATTAGCAATAAAATCGACCATATTAACCTTTGTTATCTCTTCACATAACCTCTCCTAACACATACTCCAACATTAATTACTCCAAGGGCAATGTAGGAAAAAAATAATTAATTCATTATTAAAATCTGAAAATATCACGTATTTTGGACCACAAGAAAAAAGTCAAAAAATTACTTATTTTGGACCACAAGAAAAAAGTCAAAAAATTACTTATTTTGGACCACAAGAAAAAAGCCAAAAAATTACTTATTTTGAACCGAAGAGAATAGTAGCTTACCAAAGGTTGTTAATTAGACTGTTAGATCTGAGATGATATTTTAGACTAGCTAACTACCAAACTTTTAAGATGAGGGGTCTCTCCAAATTTACAGTTGATTGATCCTAGAAGAAAAATTAAAATATGAGACTCTCCCCTATTAACAAGTATTTCGTATCTACTTCTCAACTTGAAACTCTATTCATGTGATTCACGTTATATTTTACCCATCAAACCCATTGAATACGTATTGTTGGCAATTTAAATTGGAAAATATATTATAAAATGCCAATGACACCAATTCCAGATAGGGAGGAATACGTGCGCGAAAGGTCTACCAGTGAAACACTCAAAAGAAATTAATTTTGAATTTTCCAATTCTATATTTTCAAGGTCAAAGCTTTTATTTGGGAAATATTGTGCGACACAAATCCACACTCAATCTCTACTGGCCATTTTGTGCCCCACGCATCTCTTATTTCGACCATATACCAATTTGCCCATAAGGACCCCCTTCTCTCTCCAAAAAAATTAAAGTTCAACTCTTTTGGGATTTTATTGAGAAAGAAAAATAGCAGCAACCACAAAACTTCCAGCTCCCAACTCACAACCATAACTTAACAGGAAATATTTATTCGGGTTATAAACATCTAGTATATGGTCTGCTTGCCATTTTGAACACTCGACCATAATTTCCTTCAACATGTCTTCCATTCTACCTCAAAACCATGCCATTACATCCTCACAACGAGTCCTTTCAGGGACATCTGATAAAATTGGAACGATACAGAAAAGATACTCACAGCAATTGAAGACCAATATTTCTCGTCAATTTCCCCTATTTGCACGAGTCTATTGTGTCTCTTCCTCCACCACCACCAAAACACCGCCCCTCACAGAGCCATTAATCCTTCAGCCACAACCGGCGAATTATGAGCCACCCACTCCCATCAATAAAACTAGCACTAATACTGCTACAGCCACCAGTAGCACAAGAAATGTACTCAATGACCCAAGTTTGCAATCCACATGGGCTCATCGAGCATGGATGGCGAGCGGGTGCACCACCGTGCTAATTTCTTTAGCCAAGTCTGCAACAGGGGCCATCGACTCACAAATGTGGGCCGGACCCATTGTAGCAGGCTGCATAGGCTACGTGCTATCCGACTTAGCTTCTGGCATCTACCACTGGGGAATTGACAATTACGGTAGTGCCAAAACTCCAGTATTCGGAAGCCAAATTGACGCATTCCAGGGCCACCATAAATGGCCCTGGACTATAACCAGGCGTGAATTCGCTAACAATCTGCACGCCCTCGCTCGTGCAGTGACTTTCTCTGTACTTCCAATTGACCTTCTTTGCAATAATTCAGTGGTTCTTGGCTTTGTTGGTGTATTTTCTGGTTGCATTATGTTTAGCCAGCAATTTCATTCTTGGGCACATGGCACAAAAAGTAAACTTCCTCCTCTAGTGGTTGCACTACAAGATGCTGGAATACTTGTGTCGAGATCACAACACGCCGCGCACCATCGTCCACCTTATAACAACAATTACTGTATTGTTAGTGGAGCTTGGAATGAGTATTTGGATAGATCTAAGGTTTTTGAGTTACTGGAGATGATTTTCTTCTTTAAATTCGGAGTGCGACCGCGGTCCTGGAGTGAACCTGATTCAGAATGGACTGAAGAGAATGAGACACAATCGCTGCCTGCTTCTAATTGAATTCAATTGTCTCTATACAAGAATGTTTTATTTTTCATCTACGGTCTATGTACAAGAATGGTACATGATTATATTGTTGTTTTAAAAATTTATTGTACAGGCTGTGATGAGCTACATCAGTTAATATTACATTTTCAGTTGAAAATTCATAAATATTTTCGGAGTAGTCGATTGGTGTATTTTACTTTTCTTTTTTTCCTTTTTTCAATTAGTATTGGAAATTTGGAATGACGTAGATCTAAAGCAGATTGAATTTAGCAAATACTCAGACGCTGAGAAACCAACTAACTGAGACTTAATTAGTTGATTGATAAGAGTATGTACTAGCTATTGATTGGTGGAGACTTAATTAGTTGATTGATAATGTGATGGGTAGAGATCTCCTCAGAATCTCCACCAAGGGGCTCAAAATTATTTTTTTAGCTAGTGAGAATTGAACCAATGACCTTATGAAGTATTTGAACCCCCTTGACCACTAAACTACACTTTAGGGTAGTATTAAAGGAGTTCAAAACTTAATATATACAGGTAAAAATCAGATTTTACCGTATATATACAATGTAATTTTTCGACAAAGAGGATTCGGGTGAACCATCTTCCGCCCCTAAATCCGCCCCTGCCTCCAATGAATTTTGGTCAAGTATTGTTTAGTGCAGTTACCGATATACCCCTTGTGTACACCCAAATAATTTAAGGCTAAGATTCCTTTGGTTATTAAACAACTAAAAATGATAAGACAATGTTTAACAAAAAAATAATAAGAAAACTCAATACTAACAGCAGTCGTTTAGTTATATGGTCTGTGTTATAAATATATTATATTATGGATATTCATTTAGTACTCCGTTGTAAATAAGCTTCCTGAAAAAACTTATCCATATGGGAATCCATTGTAAATATGTTTATCTATTTAGTACTCTATTGGAAATAAGCTTCCTGAAGAAGCTTATTACTTCGGTACCCGGTTATGGATAAACATTACCCCCGGTAGAATATTATCCATACCGGGTACAATGAGCTTATCCTTTCAATACTCCGTTATGGATAATCATTATCCCTAGTAGAAGATTATTTATACTGGGTACAATGAGCTTATCTATTCGGTACTCCGTTATGGATAAACATTACTCTTAGTAGAAGATTATCTATATCTGGTATAGTAGCAGCTTACACAGCAGCTTGTAGTAACAGCTTGCAGTAGCAGCTTACACAACAACTTCCTTTCTTCTATAAATAGAAGAGATTTCAGTTCATTATGTATTTTAGTTTGAATTCGAATAATATATCAGTTTCTCTCTATACCTGTCTTTACATTACAGTCTTTATTTTATAACATGTTATCAACACGAGACTCTGCCATTTTAAGCACTTACTTCGAATTTAATTTCTATTTCAGTGTTCATCTCTGATGTAAGGCGAAGCTCTTACGTCCGTGGTTAGATCTTGTTCATTCCGATCATCATAAGGCTGAATATATCCTTGAGGTGTTGAGTTTTTCTTTTTGGCAGTAGTGATGTAGATATCACTTACATCTGGAGTGGCAAAATTTTCGTAATTTAATTTGAGCCTTTTGCTTATATTTTAATATCTTTATCATCACCTGCTTGGTTATGTGTTACGTATACAATACCTATTTTAATATTTGTTTTCATCTTTATTATCTTAATAAAGGATTACAAAGTGGATAACATTGTTAAATCCACTTAAACTCCAGCAGAATTTACAAGAAATATACAACCACCAAAAGTGATTATATTTTGTATATCTCATTATAACTAAATTTTGTTAACCACCAGAAGTGGTATATGCCTATAACCACTAGAAGTGATAATTTAGACTTTCTATGGTTACAATTGAAGATAAGTTAGAGAAAATTTCTCTATATTACTTGCATTCCTCGATTTGCTCCTGAAGTAGCAATATCTTAAAAGAGGTTCTAAGCCGTCACACAATTTGGTGTGATTAATGCATGTTCAAATAATTATGTTATGTTCCCTGAAGGATGAGAACTTTTGATAAATATTAATCCATTCCTGAAGTGAATGTGACAATATTAATAAAGCTCGTAAATATGAACGCGCTTTTTGATGTGAATATATTACAATTCACTTCTAGAAGAGGTAATATGATTGAGGGAATATATACTCAATATTTCGTATTTTAAATTTGCTCCTGAAGAAGTAACACAATTAAAATTTTCTTCTGAAGCAGGAAAATATTATGAAACTGTGTCTTTCTGTGCTTAAAGAAAATAATAAGCTATATTCAAAGTTATTTTTGAAGCACATTTTCATTCCCTGGAGTGAATGAAGAAATACCACAACTCACCTCCTGAAGAGGTAGAATAACAAAGGATATAAATCTTGTCTTTGTGGCATAAAGATCATTGTCGCACGTACCCGTTATACGTAAAATATCTTGGAAATTTTTATTAAATATCATTCAAAGGCAAAAGTATTCTTGTAGAATGTTTTCTACTACAACCACATTAATATGTTCTGGTTAGTTATCGAGTTCCTCGAAGGAAATAATAACTCATGTAACTTTCCCTGAAGGATGTAATGACTATGTGGTTACCGCTTTGATATAAAATATTTAGATGTTAATGGCATTTCTCCCTGAAGGAGATATTTGTCACAAAGTTGGTGGTAAAAATATTGAAATTCTTAATTTCTTACATTTATAAATTTAGAATTGTCTTTATCTTGTTATTTTGATTTTGATTTTCTCTCATGACACCAAAAGTGTCTGAGCACTATTTGGTAGTACAAAATTTATCAAAATCTCCTGAAAAGCTAACTGTTTGTCTAGAAGACACATGATACAAGTAGTATCTGAATAATATTTGATTGTGAAAAATAAATTGAAGGCTCCCGATGTGCTTATATGTAAATTTATCATTCATATTATATGATTGTGCTCAAAACACATGTTGTAGTAAACTTGAAGTTTACTAATACAAATGACAATCATACTGAGACTACAAATGATTGAAAGATTGAAAATCTTTATGTTTCCACAATCATAGGGGGTAAATATGTATGTGAGAAGTTACCTGCCTTATTCTTAAATTTGTTCTACATCATGTATCACAGTAAACCAGAAGTTTACTAATGCAAAGCAGCTACAGTAAATCAGAAATTTACTTATACAAACGTAGCTACAGTAAATCAGAAGTTTACTAATGCAGAAGTTTGTGCCATAGTAAACCAGAAGTTTACTAAGAGATAGTGTTGATACCCAATTTTTCTCTACATATGAATGCATATATAAGTATGTCCAAATGTTTTGGTATTTTTCCTTAATTTTTAAAGACTTTTAAACCAATTTATTTCCCTATTTTATTCATTAAAAACCCAATAATAATTCTCAAAATCATAATTTTGGTGATTCACTTATTGTATTCTCATATTTATGCCAAAATATAGCTAATATAATTTTTGCATATTTTTAGAAATTTATTTACTATTTTTTGCATATAATTGCAATATTAGCCCCTTTTAAGATTTAATTGTGTTTATATTTATAAAAATTAAATTCGGTATTTTTAAATTGATAATTATGAGTTACAAATCATTTTAGTACTTTCAATTTATTTCCAGAATTTAATTTACTATTTTTATAAAAGAAATAAATGGGAAAATGGCTATTTAAAATCTAGCTAGATTTTATTTCAATTGTAGCCTAATTCTACCCCAATTTAAACCCAATTACCCTGGCCCAATTCCTACTCATACCTGACCCCCAACCCAATTAAACTGACCCATACCCAGATCCCCACCTAACCTTTTAAATCTCAGTGGTTGATCATTTAGATCAACGGCCATCGGCTGCCCTTACCTTAATTAATCCTAAACGACCCCCTAAAACCCTATCATTTGATACAATCAGCCGACCTTGAACTCCTCTTCTCTCTCAAATTCTCTCTGAAACTCTCATGAACCCTAGTCGCCGCCCTCTCACCCCACCTTGATATCTACCTAATCCATGGCCCTCCACGGTCATTTGAGACCTGTACCAGCCTTCCATGGCTCCTATGTGTTTGTTCTTAGGGTTTCAAGGCCAGACCTTGAAGGATTCTGGTCCATTCCTTGTTCGATTTCAGTTCATGACCTTTATCCAGTCATCCTTGACCTTTCACCGGCCAGCCATGGCCGTTCGAGTCAGATCCTTGACTCTCCTGGTTAGATCGGTAACTTTCGAAGCCTTTCTTACCTTTTCCGGGTTTTCTGAAACCCTATTCTCTAAGATCTTTCGATTTCTTTCAGAACTACTTTAGATCTGTGCTTGCTTTGAACTTTTAAGCATTTTCTCGAAGTTTCTTTAACTTTGCTTTCAAAATGACTCTTTATCTTTTCCGATTAGGGTTTTCCTGTTAAGTTATTTCAAAATCTCTTCTCTGATTTTTAACATGTTTGTGATTTTGCTATGTTTTGCTCGTGTTGTTCTTCTATCTAGGTTAGCATGTTTAAAACTCTAATTTCTTTGGGCCTCAGTCGAATTCTAAAGCTGTTTGTTAATTGAGTGTTTGTCTGGTTAAGTTTTGTTTGATCTATTTGTTTATCATCTTTTAAAGCTCGACTATTGTTGAAAAAAAAACCTATGTCTTTGGGTCTGAAACTGTTCGTTCGAATACCTGACTCGATTTGAAGTTCTTGTTTCAGACTCTCTTTTCTCTATGTGACTTATCCGATTCTTACTATCTTCCAACTCGACTATGGTTGAAACCCTAACCTCTCAAAGGGTTTCCTCACCTGCTAGTGTGAGACCTTTGCATGCTTCTGGTACTCTATTTTCCTTCACTATTGATTCAATGTGAACTTGACCTACTTGACTATTATGCTTCGAATGTTTGCTATCTACTGAACCTTATGCTACTGTTGTATGTTGTTTCTTTTGCCAATGGGTTGGCCTCGCTTGTCTGGTGTTTGTTCACTCTATTTATATGCGAGGTTCCTTTTTTGATTGATCTTCAATCTTGTGACTGAGTTCAAAACTTTTCTTTTATGAACCTTAATTTCACTCGCCTATTCAAAGTGATTGATTCTTTTCCTTTACTGTAATATTTGCCTTACTGATCTTTTTTCCAAAATAAGCATACCTCTATACTTAGACTTGATTGCATACTTAATGGTTTTACTACTCCTTTTATGGTAACAATCAGTC